GGAGGGTTGCGGATTGAACTTCCGGTGTCCCAAACGCGACATGACACATAGATAGATAGATTGGAGAAAAGGTAAAACTAAAGTCGGGCCCCCTGCGGGTAGCCCGACTAAAAAAACAATTCAGCTACGGTGTCCCAAAATCACTGATAGAGACAGACGAGGAGGAGGGCAGAACGCGAATTTATCGCTGACTTTGAGCGATTTTATGGGCAAAAATCAGTTGCGCTTTGCTTTGAAATAAATGTTCCCACATATTATAAATTATATCCAGTATCTGTCCGTATACAAAACGATGGTCACTTCAAAATAACATGCTTCAGTATTCTTTTCTATTTCTATGGCAACTCTGACAGTTTATTAGGTAAAATACGTCAAACCTTATATACAAAGAATAGATATCCGAGTTGAATTGTAAAATTATTGGAAATTCACCGAAATTCCACCACACATTCTATAAAGAATATACTAATATAACTAACTCTAAAATTATTTTACCATTGTCCAGTTCTTACATCCTATGATTTTTTTTCTTTATTTAGATATTTTTATCAATGTTGATAATATTTTTCTCTTCATCTCCCTGCAGAATAGTACAGAGTACTATTTATGACATCAAAACGACCAGTAAGGATCGAGAACTAGCTGAGCCAATTTCATGCATTATCAAACTTGTTTCAACGAATTCGTCTTCGTCACTTCCTTCTTCTTCAACACATTTCATATTGTTTGGAATATGTTCATTGCACAGGTGTAACGCAGAATATGCCTCGTCAAGTCCTAGATATACTTCAGTTTCTATATTAGGGTCGATGCAGTATGTTTCTTCGACAATACCTTTACAAATGCTTCCATACGAGATAGACAGAACGTATTCTTCTTTTGAAAAGTACGCTTTTTGRAGTATRAAATAAGCCTTCATTTTTAATTGGGCATCGCAAACGTGGCTGCTTTCCAAATATTYTTCGCAGWGMARGATTGCTCKGTCGTATTTCTCTAAAAGAAAATAAGCTTCCGCGAGCAACAARCATGCAATGAGCTCAKTTAGTTTCTCGCCGARTGCTTGTGCAATGCTTATGCATTTCTTGCCATGCCATAATGMCTGTTCCAAGTAGCGTTCAKTKCGAACRGCATTTTGCATGATTGCAAAGTGAACTTTCATTTCAACAAGACTGGCRTCGTCGTCCTCAGAAACTTGGCATCCATACTGCACTAGCTGAGGATTGTCGTTGATACAGTTTATGACAAATTCAAGACACTTTTCTCTATAGAATGTTCCAGCGATATCGTTTTTATGAAGAAGCCTGTATGCCCGCCACAATTCCAAAGCTGTTTCGATCTCAACCTGGACATCATCGAGGTCTTGAGCCATTTCAATGCACTTGACTCCATTTTCAATAACATCGATGTATTTCTGGAGTCTATTGAAACCTTTACATTGTAAAAGAAGACTGTTCATTAAGCTTTCTTTGCAGAAATAAGCAGACGGGGTGATTTCGTCATTTAATTCTGAAAGCTCCATTGGTCTACAGTTTTACCTGAAATGAGAATTTTTCAATCAGTGGATATTCACGACTTGCATTTGCTCAACTCAAGGATGATCCTTTGTAGGTTTAATATTCAACAAGCGCATCAACCTGGTTGGATATTGCAGGCACGGGAACGGATCCAGTTGGTCTTAATTGGTAGCACCCCTCCCCCCTCCCTTCTCCCTTCTCCCACCGCGCCCCCTATATTATAACATCATCAATTGTG